CCGAACTTTTGCCATGCAAACACTAATACTCGCCTCAAGGTCACCGCTAGAAGGTTGGAAGGGCTCATGCCCAGAGGTTTGGAAAGGGCTCGGGACCAGCTTTCACATGACCTTACCAAATACCGGGTATCCCATTTAAAAAAAATCATCTTGACCTCCACGTGACCTCCACGGTACTCATCAAGGTCAAACAAGGGTGACCAGTTGATAGATTGGTTGAAACCCTACAACTTTTGTATTTAACATTTTCCTCTAACTCCTATAGTTTCCGAGAAAATCGGCCGTGTCCATACTTTTCGGACACCCTGTATATCAAAAGTCCATAAGATATACTGATAAGGATATTCGTTTCATGTTCAAAATCGGATGCCCTGTGGACGTTCGCTTCATATCCCTCGACATACGGACGTAAAATGGACATGAAATGGATGTCCTATGGATGTTCTGTGCTGTCTGGGTAAGTATTTATTATTATAAGTATTTTTAGTAAGTAAGTAATATTTTTTATAAGTAAGTAATATTATAAGTATGTTTCAACTTAAAGTTTCTTTTATTATCAGAAAAAAATTTATTTAAATTTACAAAATGATTTATTTGTAATTTACTTACTTTTAAAACAAGTAAATATCTTTTAAATATACTTTTTACATACTTTTTAAACATATATTTTACATTTAAAAAGATCTATTCTCTTCTTTTAAATGATTTGTTTTCGTACATGGATATACCATATATATACAATATGAAGCGTCTCTCAATCAAAGTAACAGTGGTGCAATAGGTAAGGTGACGGCTTAAAAACCAAGAGTTTATTTCTATACATAAAGAAAAATCTAGTATCAAAATCTTTATTTAAAATATTATTAAAATATAGACTAAATATTTTATACAATATTCCCGCTAAACAATATTTAGTTGCAAGAACGTTTTTATAACATCGCAATATCGCCATATAACGTTTTACGTTTTATTGCATAAACGTTTTGATAACGTTTCAGAAATCAGAAATATCCTGATTCAATTATCTTATATATACAACGTTATATTTGCAACATATTTTATGCGTTTGTAAAACCTTACATATGCGATATCGCATTTACAACATTTTTGCAACGTTTGTAAAACTTGAACGTTAGGAAAATGTTACAACTTTCGTTCCAAAAACAACGCTTACACAACGTTCCAGGAATATATATAAAAATATTTATTAAAATAATTATACATTTTTATGTACATTTTTCTCTCTTCCTGAACTTTTCTAAATTTTTCACTTTATTGTTTCACACGCTATTTAATTCAATTTACATTGTACTTCGAAAATTTGTTTACCAATTGCCGAGATTCGAACCTGAAATTTCCCCGGTTCTTGAATCATTCATCTTATTTACTGCGCCACAATCACTTTGACTGAGAGACGCTTTGTATCGTATACATATGGTATATTCATGCACGAAAATAAATGATTTATTTAAAAGTGATTGGGGTAAATCGTTTCAGATAACATTTGGAAAAATTCAGGACAGAGTAAAAAATCGGTAAAAAAACGGGATATCCAATCTAAACAAGAGCATTTACATTTCGATAAAATTTGTTGTCCCGACAATGCTGCTGGTTAATTATCAATGAAGTACTCGATCGATCAATCGGAAACTCGATGAGTCACCGTAATATCAAGTAACGTCTAATACTAACTCTCGAAGATAATCTTGTTATCTGCCGTCCGAGGATTAACGTTCCTTTGAACAGCTGCGCTTCTCGTTGTACGTCATTGCACGGTCGCCATGTTCGATATATCGATTCTCGCGGTCACGCGCTCTCCTTCCCGAAATTGCGTGACTCCCATCAATTAAATCCGTGAACGCGCGCCTCCTCCACATAACTATTCTACGAGGAAACACATTCGATTCATTCACGACGCCCACGCTGGCCACGTAATCGTCAACCTCTCAACCTCAAGTCCGCGGACGTCCGCGTGAATTCGACGCGACTCACGCTGCCGAGCTTAAATTCACGACATTATCGACGCGACGGTATCTCGATACCTATCGACTAACTGGGCAACTCGAGAACAGCAAAGATGTCCGCCGGTGCAGTAGATTAGAATGTTATTAGTCACTTGGTCGGTCGCGTTTGTGAGTAAATACCAGCTGGATGCGTAGCGCGATCCCGTAACGGTGTGCTAAACGTGCGTGCGGCTACGTCGAGCGGAAGTGCAGGGAAGAGAATTCCGGAGTGCCGAAGAGAGAACGCGGAGAAGAGAGAGAGAGAGAGGAAGCCGCAGGCATGGGTCTCTTCCAGAACTCCTCGCCTTTCGACGCTGAAGTCGGTGAGTAGAATGCCATGCCGTGGCGACGGGACGACCACGGCGATCGTCCGCGACACGCCTCTCGGTCGGCTGGCTCGCGATATGCGGATCATCGATTTCCCCAGCTGGACGACGCGCTGTCGTCGTCGTCGTCTGGCCGACGAGGATCGCCCAGGTCGTCGCGAATCGTCGCCCGGCCCACGGACAACAGCCTGTTTCGCATTAAACGCATTAAGCGGTTGTTGACACTTGACCCGTGACCGTGTCGTTGCGTTTTGAGCGCGAGCTCAGAGTCGCTCTCCGTCCTGGACCTTTGAGAATTCGTCCTCCTCGGTCCGCGCGAGCGACGAGGCAGTGACAATAATGAGACCCGTCACAGCGATTAATCATCAGCTTGCGCTCTGGTGTTTTCATCGCTGCTCGGTGTGTGTGTCATAGTGCCATAGAGAGCGCCTACCTCCTTTTGTTGCGCTCATATCTGCAACTACTCCGATTGTTTTAACCCTTTGATAGGCGCGTGCGTTTTTTCACCTATAAGTTTATCTGGTCTGTCACTGTAGATGCATATTCTGCCAAGATGTATATTCTTTTTGAAAATACACATACATATATATAATATAAATATATAAAAAACATATAAAATAAAATAGAAAAATATATAAATATGAACATATAAAATACATGTAAAGTAAAATAGAAAAATATGTAAATATGAATATATAAAAGATATATACATCTGATATAAACAATAGGCTATGTATATTACAAAAGAGGAAGTATTTTTGACTAGTGATATATAGCTTTCGAATTACATCTGTGGACAACGCACCTATTGAAGAGTTAACTTTTATGTTACGCTATTTCTTTCCATGGAAACCTTGGCCCTTGCTATTCTGCATTTATGTGCATGACTGAATATATATTTATAGATTTAGCCAATAAACATAAAGTGATAGTAATATTACTCAATGTTATAATCTCTCACTCAACGATGTAAGTATAATATGAAGTATATTGTATGTAACAGTTATTTTATTGGGTGGGAAATTATAACATCGGTGTAACATTACTGCCAGCTGCTGTATATTGGATGTTACTCTTTATGCACTAGAAAAGGCAACCAATGAGAACAATGTATCAGAAGAATGGGGAAAGATAATGGATATCTGCGATAAAGTGGGCACTTCTGCTCAAAACGCCAAGGACTGTTTACGTTCCATTATCAAGAGATTGTACTCTCAGGACCCACATGTTGTCATGCAGGCTATAACAGTTAGTATCTTTGTCCCTGAAGGATTCATCAGTCTGATATGCTATTGAATTCATAATCATTCTTTTTCAATCCAGTTGTTGGACGCTTGTGCGAGTAACTGCGGCAAGACTTTTCACTTGGAGATTGCATCCAGGGACTTCGAGAACGACCTGAGGAAGCTCATTCATCATCATCAGCAGAAAATAGTGCAGAAGGTGAAGGCGCTGCTGAAGAAGTGGGCGGAAGGCGATTTCAAAACGGATCCTCAGTTGAACTTGATCCCAAGCCTGTACAATAAGCTTAAAAGTGAAGGCCATGACTTTTCCTCTGTCTCGGATTCAGTGAGTTTCCATTTTACCGTGGTAACGTTTACCACGCGGTCTACACTACAAGTCCAAGTCGAGCTACATAATTCAAGTCTGTCAGATAAGATTATCAGTTATTGACACTGCGTGCTCCCCTTTTGAACTTGCGTCGTATCGTTTTTAGTTTATGAGCTGTCGAATGTATTTTAAATATGTCGATCAGTTAGTGATTTTATTTATTTGCTTTAAGGGGTCTTTTACCTATGGATGTTTGAAAAATTAGGCTGTCGGGAATTTTTCTGGGAAAACTCTGGAACTTTCTGTGTTTAATTTATAATTTGACATATTTATTATTTAAATATAAAGAAATATTATAAGAAATATTAATAGAATGTAGTGGTTGTTCGTAAATATATTTAAAACTTTAAACGCAGTTTTTACGTTTAAAGTTTTTAACATCAGCGTGCAAGATTTTTTGAAAACTACTGACCCAGTTGACTTCAAATTGTTTACATCTTCAATACATGTATCAAGGACGCACATCGGATTTCTTAAAAGTTTAAAATTTAATATTTTTAATTTATTAAAAAAAATATATATGTATATAATTAGTTATTAAATAATAATTTAATATTTATTTCATTATATGAAAAGTCCCTTCTCTTCTTTCAACGAAAAACGCATTTAAAGTTTCAAATATATTTCTGAACAATTATATTTTTGATATTCTTTTGTATTTATATAATAAGCAGGCCAAGTTACAAATCAATATGTTGCAGTTTTTTCAAAAAAAATTCCTGAATATAATTTATTTTTCAGACATCTACAGGTGAAAAGTCTCTTAATATTTTTAATTTCTTGCGTCACATCTCACACATATTATACAATATTTTTTAGCCAAAAGTTAGTGCTCCGAATAGAGATCCTAATGTAGTAACAAATTCGCAAGAAGAAGCAGATATCGCTAAAGGTAATGATTCACTTCGTTTCTATCATAAAGTTTCCCACATACAAACTATAATTCTATTGTAATTTTTAATGTCTTACAGCTATACATCTGTCGTTACAAGAAAGTAAGGCGCACGCCCAGAGCACCTCATTGCATAGCTCGCCAGCTTCTAAAAAGAGTTCCAGTTTATATCCTAATATGAATTCCGTACTTGGAAGTTCAAGTACCTCGGAAGGCAGGAAAGTGCGCGCTCTGTACGACTTCGAGGCTGCGGAAGACAACGAACTGACATTCTTTGCAGGAGAAATAAGTATGTAATTAACATTATATTATCTATAGCCGTTGATAAGCAAATTTCTTATTAATTATAACTTCCCACTTTATAGTTAATATCTTGGACGATTCGGATCCAAATTGGTGGAAGGGTAGCACTCTAAAAGGTGAAGGGCTTTTTCCATCCAATTTTGTCACTGCTGATTTGTCTGTTGAGCCAGATGAATACACAAGTAAGATATATGCAACAGGAGAAATCTTCTCCGACATTCTATGAAGTCGAATATATGTGCAAATTATTCGTCGCTTGCGGCTAAAGTAACATATGAATATTTGTATGCAGAATTGGAACATAGTAATAAAAAATTAGTGCAGTTTGTGGACGAGGTGGAAGTCAAGATGGTGAAGCGCGAGCCGGAGGTGGTGGAGGTCGAGATAGACGAGAAGAAGATGGACAGATTGTTGCATTTGCTTCACGAAGCCGATCCACAGTGTGACACGTCTGATCCTCAGGAAATGCTCGATCTGGAAGGTAACCACGAATTTTGATGGGAGTGATTGAATTCGACGTGTTGAAAAGTGTCTCATGAACTTGTATTTTGCATCATTTAGAACAAGTCACGGCAATGGGACCGCTGATCGACGCGGCTTTGGAAAAAGTAGACAGGCGGCACGCGCAGCTTACTCAGTTAAGCTCCGACCTGGTGGACGCTCTTAATCTGTATCACACATTGATGCGAGAACCCGCACCACCGACGCCGTCTGGCTACACCTTGCCCAAAATGCAGCCGCATATGAATCCTTATCCGTTTCACAATACGGGACCACCACCATCACACGTAAGCGCTTGTAAAATAAGGCATGATAATACAAGTAAACCATGCCTAGTACGTAGATTTGAATGTTTTGCAAGCTAGTAAATTTTAATTGGTGTGGAAGCCTTTACCCTTTTTAGTATCTTTACAGGCATAAAATATTTCCAAAAATAAAAGTATCTTTTTTTTTCTATATATAGTTTAAGACTCCTGGCTCCTCGCATTGCCTATCTCTCTTTAATGACGTTAAAAGCGAGAAAATGCATGCTAAAAATTCTTGCGAAATACTACGTTGAAATAAAAATATATATCTATAAAGTAACATGCAATCGATTAAACAAATTTATAAAATATTTCGTGCATCCTCTTTTGCTTTAACAATCAAATTATAATAATTTATTGTAAATTAATCTAAATGCGAAGAAATAGGTTAAGAAGATGAAATGTATGTCATATTAATTTACGACAAATTATTGATTATTAAAGCAAAAGAAGAATGCACGGAATATTTGACAGATTTATTTAATCGATTACAAGTGTCGCTTTATAGATATATCTTTTTATTTTAACGTATTTTAAACGTATTTTAAACGCAAGAATCATTAGCATCCATTTTCTCGCTTCTGGGCAGCAATCACGTAACTTCGAGCGGAATTTTTCGTTCTATCGATTTCACATGAACTTTTTCATTGTTCACGCAATCAAGTAACTCTATGTGTGAAAAGCACAATCACTATACATGGTTTCTATATGATTTCAGTATCGGCCAAATCAGCTGTATCCATCGGCTGTAGAACATATAACCTTAAAAAAATTGCTATTACCTTAGGACTGTTATGTTTTCTGTATCTCACCACAGCAATAGCATAATATATTCCATATTCATCATGTCACTAGATTTTCACTTTTCCGCCATCAAGTTTGATGACGAAAAAGTTCACGTAAAAAGTTTTACGTTTTCACGTTTTGCCGAGTTACGTGATCACGAGTTCACATGAAACTTTTCACTTTCCATTCTAGGGGAAAAGTTACGTGATCGCTGCCCTGACCTCAGTAAAAAGAGATAGACAATGCGAGAGGCCAGGAGCCTTAATAAAGCGTTTTTAGAATTATCTAGTGACAGTTTATTTGATCTAAAAAAAGGAACAACAGAGTGTTGATAATTATTTTTCTAATATTTGTAACAAATTTAAAAAATTTTTTTCTGTTTTAAAATTATTTTTTAAATCAAAATTTTGGAATTTTGTTAGTATTTCTTCATTAAGATAACATCAAATTTCCAAAATAAACCGAGATTCACAAAGAATAATATATGAAATTATATTCTTCTAAAACATATACTATATTTCTTGTAGTTATTTTGGAAAATCCTAAAATGGTATAACTTTATTAAAGACTGTTATACTACTGTACTGTACTTTGTTTTACTCGACATTCCTATCGCATGATTCGGTTGACTTAGGTTTCCAATACTTCGATCAATACAAACTATTCTGACAGTAAAGCACATGTCTTTTTAATAGATATTTAACGGTATACCGCATTCTCCATTTCCCACTGGAGCGGCAACGGGTCCAGGCCCGTTGCCCGGACCGTACAACGCAAACATACCGAGCAACGAGTATATGGGTCCCTCCAGTATGCCAAATATGACTCTGCCGCAACCGCACTTTCACATTCAATCTGGTCCTCATCAACAACATACGCCTGGACATCCACAAGGCCCGTCTCTACCACAGCCCGATCAAACTAGCCTTCCTTACCAACCACAAGGGTATGTTTGATCTGATGATTCTTGATGATTATCTATTATATTTAATTTATTCTTATTATCTATTATTTTTTCTCGCATTATACTCTCTTGAAACTCAGTATATATATACATTGAGTTTTAACATTTTTTTTATACAACTTGGGACACAGCCAATGATCTAATAAGAGAACATAACTTACGAGAATTAATTAAAGTCACTGCAAATCCGAGGGTGTTATTCTTAAACGCATAAGCATGTAATTGTAGGCTGAAATTCTTCTCACACGTCTCTGGTTTTAAATCATGTCAATCAACATGTTTATGATGTATAAATAAGAATTTTATACGTTTGAGCATAAATGACGCAACTTGAGATGATAAGAAACATGTATATAAAAAGAGATTCGACCAATTATACGTTTATACAATTATGCGTTTAAAAATAACACTCGGATTTGCAGTAGTTCTTTCGTTGGAGACACTGTCTGCGTTACAAAAGAGAGAAGAAAATGTTTAAATCGTTTTGAAACCTAGTATACATAAATGCAACTGCAGAGCTTCTGGAAATTCAACTCCGAGTCTCGTGACGTTTCTTACATACAAATTAAAACATGTCATGCATTTTTTCAATCAGTATGTTTTTATATTCTTACATTTTGATGTTTCATGAGACACCATACAATCGTTTGTCGATATCATGTTACGTTTTGTTGGTAATGTCGAACGTTACAAGAGAATTTTTTACGATTTTCTCATATTTTTGTAGTAAATTTCTAAAGTGTGTACATTTTAAAGAGTGATGATTTACATCATGTTATACACTAGATACCCACCACAGACTGGCCCCGCGCCAGGACCGTACGGTCCACCCGGACCTAGAGGACCGTCAATAAGCCAGCAACCGCAATACGCTCCACCGAACGGACAACACATGATGTAAAGCGAAAATATGCGTTATGAACACTCATCTTGTACTCTAACTCAAGCTGTACAATATTACGATATTATAATTATTTAAATAAACATACCCCCGAAGTAGCCAAAGATAATGGGTTTTCAATGGAAGTTTTGCGTTTGTATCTACGTAGGCAGTATATCGTTCAGTATGCGCCGCGTATGTATACACGCGACTTGGAAGAAGCAAAGCAGAGAGTGACTTACGTTACGCCTACGACGCATCGATATTAGTTTTGTGATTGTTAGATATTTATTGCTCAGACTGTTCAGTTTTATTAGTTTATACATTCCTCCGGCCCGCTTTGTCTTTTTCTTCGTTGTTATTGTTTTATTAGAAATCCGATTCGCCACTAAAACAAAAAAAAAATGTTCGCCGTTGTATATCTGTGTAAAAAGAAAAAATGACATGTACGTAGATTCTGTGTTGCCGATTATTGTTTCAGATACTTTCGCGTCAATTGTCGCGGTTAATAAAAACAAAACAAGATAATCTTCGTGCTTTATTCTATGTTTTTAAGTTGTAAGCGTTGTGTCGTATATGTGTCACATAAATTGTAAATTGCGCACTTTAAGTAACATGTCGGTATTTACAAATATATCACAAAGATACATGACGGGTTTTCCGGAACCCGCATGCGCGCACGAATGGAAAGCTCGACGAATGTTTTATAATTTTCTACTCTGCCATTGAGCCTCGATGGAGTTATTTGCGAGATACAGATTGGGCGATTACTGGGTGAATGAAGATAAATGGAGCGATGCGTTGTCACACAGCCGCGCCGTCGCAGGCGCGTTTGACAGTTGTCGAACGATAGTCGTCGCGATGAGAAACTCGAATTCGCAAGCTTTCGCAACAAAAAATATCTCGAGATGCGGTTTAATCAGATCATTGTGTACAATAAGACAAATTCCTATTGATTGGCTCGGAAGAGCTGACTCTGCGAGGAACTTTTTATCGATTGTTAATGCATGATAGGTGCGCGACAATGTTTATATGTGTATTCAGGACGAGACGCGCGTTCTGTCTCAGTCAAATGTGACAAACACAGACGGCCAGTGCTTTTTGGGCTTTGATGCACTCACGATATGTCGAAGTTCAATGTGATTATGCTTGTCGTTCTCTATGTCAAAGAAGATCATAGAGCTTGTCGATTTGAACCAATAGCACTACAGTGTTTTGTATAGATGCAACAAATAACGAAAGGGAGAGAGAGAGTCGGGGTGAAAATTTGTGAAAACGCAATCCGCACAAAGCTTACCGATTCGAGCCTAGATAGGAACGTAATTTGTTTCCGAGACAGAACAAGCATCGAGATTAGGTCTGTTTTTTATTGCTGAACTCGTTACATTAATTCTCTCTTTTTTTTTCCACCAAGTCTTATCTGTATATGTCTCATTTTAAGTTCCGAAAATGTACGGCAATAGTTCAGCAATAGAAAATAGATTCGTTGTTTATTACAGTCGTATACCATATACTGTGTGTATAACGAAAACGGAAACGAGATAGAAATTATGAGCGGCAATATGATATTAAAGATGAAAGAAATAACTGATCCTATGGAGAGTAGGCGCTTATGCTGTGTATGTTATGATATATACAGAGTGTCCCGCCACTACCGCATTATGTTTTAAGGATGGATTCTTGAAGTAGTTTGAAGAAAAAAATTTTAATGCAAAGATGTCGAGGCTATAATACTTTTCAAATTATAAACGATTAAAGTTGACCAATTATATTGGCTAAAGTACACGCGTTCATGTACGGTACAACACATACTGGTACAGGTACATGCACATAAGTGAGAATTGCATAAGATATGAAATTAGTTGCGAATCTTTGAAAGAAACGTCAAATGTGTGACAGCTTATTGATTCTCATAAATGTATTGATATTTTATTTATGACATTTTGACGAAATTGTTATTATTTGCGATATGTTTATTTAAATGATAGAAAAGACATTATTATTATATACATTATTGTGTGTATGGAACTTCCGCATCAATATTTGGAAAAAGGACGACATGTGCATGCACCTGTATCTGGTGTGTTATATCGTAAGCGCGTGTACTTTATCCAGTATAATTAGTCAACTTTAATCGTTTATAATTTGAAAAATTATAAACTCGCCATTTTTGCATTAGGATTTTTTTATTCAAATTACCTCAGAAAAAATAATGCGGTAGTGGCGGTACACCCTATATACATATATATCATTAAACTGGCTTTATTTAATCAATTATCGCCTAATTACATGTATTCCTCTTTTCTCGTGTACACATGGAAGTATTGGGCGGATAAAAATCGTCCTGTAACCAAGAACGATTGTACATTATGTAAATAGTATGAGAAATACATTTTTTCGAAACGTCGACTTACGTGCCTCTCTATTCAGTGTGGTGTTTCTCGCATATTACGCGACGTTGATGAAGCCTTGAAATGCTAAAAGAGTACGACACGAAAGTGTTGTTCGTGCAAAACGGCTTAGTAAAGAACAGATATTACTTGTTCCTGAAGTGGAAAATACGTACGATTTTCGATTCCAATGTTTCTTCATATTGATTCTGAGAAAGTAGCATTTCATGTCTCTCATCACATATTCTCTAAATATCTTCGAGTGAAATTCCATTAACAAGTAAAATAACAATGAGCCGCCAAAATTTGAATGATTTTCATTCATAAAGAATGAATTATTCATTCTGAATCATTGAGTGATTATTTTCATTTTAAATTGAAGAGTGAGTCTGATGTACTGCATCGTCACTTGCATAACAAATGCATTATAATCGACTGAAATATCCTCGAACGACTGAAATTTACTCGAACAAATTAAAAATTCACTTTAAGTTTAAGTTAAATATTCTTATAATTTCGAGTAGCAATATTTTTATTATCGCTTCGAATGTGACTTTACGTTCATTTTAAGAGAGATTTTATTTCAAAACATTTAGATAGTAAACTTTTTGGAGTGAAATTTCTACCCAAAAAGTAGAAAGACAGCCGAATCACTCGAATTTGAGTGATTTTTCATCCATAAAGAAGAGAGAATTGTCCACTCGTGGAATTGACTGAATCGTGTTGAGTAAATATTTTCATTCGAAATTGAAGAATGAATATGTTATACTTTATTGTCATTGGAACGAATTCACTTGAATTGATTAAAATATTCACTTATAATTAATAAGATATTCACTTATAATATTTATTTATTGGATTAAAAATTCACCCTAAGTTTGAGTTGAGCATTCATACTTGTAATTTGTGCAAGTAGCACAAATATTTTTAATATCACTTCGAAAGAATTTCTACTTGTTTTGTGGAATTTTATTTTAAGAAATGTAGAAAATAAAGTTTTTAAAATTGCACTTGAAAAACATAGAGTGACACAACCGAGTCGATAGAAATCGAAGAATTTTTCCCATTCTCATGTAGAGTGTATTCTTCATCCTGAACGATCGAGTGAATATTTTCATTTGAATTTGAAATGTGAATCTGATGTATTCCACTGTTACAGGATCAAGTTTTGTTTTATTGAGAAATTCATATGCCTATGGATTAAAAATTCACACTCTAATTTTGAATTAAATATCCATTATTACGTGTATGATTCCACACTTTTCAATATTGCTTCGAGCGAACTTGTTTTGAGATTTTACTAAGAAATTTAAAGCATTTTTTAAGGGAACTGGAGGATTAGATTGCCTGCAAATCATACTTGTTTTTTCACGATTTTTTGTGATTGAATAAATATGTGAGTGTTATTTTGACGTGTACTTATACAAAAAGAAGAAAAATATAATTTTGATAATGAAATACTCAATATAAGAGTGTATGATACATGCGGTTAAAATATATTTCGTTTTTTTTTTTAAAGTCGTCATTTTGCAGTAATATCTTAACTCTTGGTTCAATTAAGCTGAATTTTAGGTAAAAAATTTCAGTCACTTGTCAGTTCACTTGTCGTTATCGTGTGAACTATTATAATAGAAATTGAGTAAAAGTTAACAAAATTGCAAATATCTTAATGGAATATTATTAAATTTTCAGTTCTTTTATAGTAAAAAAATTAATATTTCAAAATTAAATATTTTCACGAGTTTATCAGTGGTTTACACGATAACGACAAGCTTACGGAAATTTTTTACTTAAAATTCAGCTTAACTGAACCACTGAGAGTCAAGATATTACTGCAAAATGACGACCTTGAAAAAAAAAACGGAATATATTTTAACTACATGTACAATATACTTATATTGAATATTTTATCATCAAAATTATATTTTTCTTTTCTTTATATATTGTACAAATACTCTTTATATATTGTACGTCAAAATAACACTTTCGTATATTCATTTAGTTTGTCACAAAAAATTGTGAAAAAACAAGCACGATTTTCAGGAAATCTGATCCTCCAGTCCCCTTAATATCTCGAGAAATTTTTATTTTGGTACAGAGCTTGGTCTCTTGGGATTCATGTTTGAAGATTACGACTTGGTGAAGAGATTGAGCCATCGTTGCGCTATTCGAATTTCAAGATGACGATTTTCAGGACTTGCACATGTTCATCGATAATAAAATGTTAAAATTCTGCGAGTACTTTCTATTTTGCTCGTAGGCTTTAGGATTTCCAGTGTAATTATGAGATTACTTCTTGTTATCGTTTTACCGAAGATTATTTCGTATGCTGCAACATTGCACACATAATGTAGCTTAGTGCAACTACACGTCTAAGGGTTTTACGGATCCTTCATGACACACCATTTGTCATACTTAGCTGAACAACTTAATAACGCATACCGTTGCCTCCGATTATAGACTACAGTTAATGAAGAGAAGATTTTCTTCATTGTCGCGCATCTTCGATGATTCTGTGTATATATAAAAAGATGCTTATTAATTTCCCACTTTTTTTCTGCCGCGCCTCGCTGACCTTCCGATATTTTTACAACCGCTTCCCACCGCGATAGCTGCTTAATGATACACGCAGAATTATTTAAAATCGCGCGACGCGTACTGCTCACACGCACGCAAGTATTCGAGAATAATATCTCCCACAGTTCCTCGTAATGGAAGATTTACGATCTATGAAACAATGAATTAGCGATTGAGAAAAACTCACGCGAGTTAGTCCCGTTATTAATCGTTTGTTTTCCTTATACAACGCGTGCGCGTGGCGCATCCGCATGCATACATTTCAGTTGACTTTTATTCTCGCAAACTATAAGCCTGACTTCTCTCTTTAATTCGATTATCAAATAAATTAAAAGTGAAAAATACAGAATACGAACTTTCGAAGTTTTTGAAATTTGTGTATACTCGCAGAGTATATTTAAAACGTTTCTCATTCTTTTCTTAAGTTCAATTGTTTAACCTATAACAGGTACCACGGGGTCCCAGGGACTCCAACTAATTTTATTTTTGTGATAATTCCTAAACTATCCACTGTATGGCGCTAATATTTTTAGTACCTTTCAAGTAACAGTTTTCAATGTGACAGGAGAACAGATCATCGAATTATTTGTAAGTAGTTGTGAATTATATGCATTTATTTTTCTTCTGAGGTTACAGTGACCCCATGGTACCGTTAACGCTACTTTTATGAAAATAATTTTCTTAATCTTCAGCTCAATATGACTCATTCTTCACGCAAAAGAGTAAAAGCTCTTGCCTTTCAGTTAGTAGAACCTGAACTTAAGAGACGTCTTACAATTCAATATATTCATAAGACATTGCGTTTAATAACTTCATCTATTTTAAAAATTGAAGAAACTGAAAGATCTAAAATTATTTTGCCATTCAGAGTAAAATGCAATAAATGTCCTAGAGATAAAGATATGAAGACCAAAGTAGTATGTGTAAGATGCAATGAACCAGTATGCACCAAATGTGCAAGCACCATCTGTAATAATTGCATCTAAAAACCCTCTAGATTTTAATGTTATGTTTAATTTAACAATACCTGTTTATGTTTTTTACATAATCTATAACCTGTGGACTTAGATTAAAACATGCATTTTTTTCTCTGATTATTTGTCTTTCAGTGTATTTTATTTCGACACTGTCCACATTGTATTCATTTTATATTCAGTTTATGTTTTTTTTTAGAGTATTGAAAAACTGAAGCTGTTATTATAAATGTTTAGTTATAATACTAATAAATTATTATTTTCAAACTATAAAGCGTTTTTCTTCCTACCTTTTATTATCATGTTAAAAATGGCAATAATTTATTGGGGTCCGCCGGACTCCATGGTACCTGTAGCTTGACTAAAAAGGCATGGTACCTATTACGGGTTAAATTCGTATCAAACTCACTGGTGAAATGGTTTACGTGAAAAGTTGCTGAAAAATTCATGTTTCTACGTTTCGCCTAGTCACATAATTATGACTAGACAGCATAAATTACAAAAAAATGTCTTAAAGACATTCAAAAGACGTCTTATTTCTTTAGACATCTTTGGAAGATCTTTAAGGATGTATCTGAGATACATATATATATATATATATATATATATATATATATATATATATATATATAT